TTTTTGATACTAAATTAACTTCTGAAGTATAATTTTTTATTGTTTTTATATTTTTCAATATATTTATTCTGTTTGTACAAAATAAAAAAATAATTTTTAACGATACAATAGTCTTCGTTAGGCTTAACATCGACGAAAATTCAACGCGAAGCGACACGCAACGGAGAAAAATTTCAACACGGGATAAATTAATATATTTTTTCGTACATAATTGGTTATCCGAAAAATAAGTTATCTGAACAACCCCAGTCCCCAATTGATTCGGATAAACGACGCTCTACTGTATTTTGCTCCAAGCGTTTAAAAAAATTATGTTCCTTGTTTTTATAATTGGGATGCTTCATTCGTAAATGTTGTAGGAGTAAGGAAGGTTTCATGCAGCCATTAGATAAAACATCTCCACATACTACACATTGTGGTTTAGGGCAGTTTTCATTTCCTATATAAGTAAATCCATATTTAATATATTCATTGCAGTACTTTCTGTTTTTCTCTGTTTTCGAGACTTTTCCAGTGTTTAGATCCGAAGTGCTGTTGTCTTGAGAGGTATTTGACTGCAATTTGAAAAAATTGTAGACCTATAAATTTCAACTGTTGTCCATCTGTCCTTCCTCAGTCTTGAAAAAAGGAGAAAGCTTAGGAGCAGGAGGCCCAGATGTAGGAACTTCCGGTTTGGAAAGAAAATCATGTTACTTTGATTCAAGTATTTCCATTGAATGGAGTTAGATAGATAACTGGCACAACTCTATTGCTAACAGGAAAAATATGAAGTACAACAGCAAGACCACCACTAAAAGAATTGAGAACATTGTGACAAAAAGTTGCAGCCCAGCATTGTGACGATGTTATGATAAATAATCACTCGTTACAATTAGTTTGGTTTATTTGGCTACAACAATGCAATGCGCAAGTGATCTGCTAGGGTTGCATCCCAGGAAGACTTTTATGGAAAGCTGGACCCTACTTAGGAGAAACCCAGAAAACTTTTCATGGCCAGCCTGTTTTCCATGCCCGAACTTAATGACTAACTACCAGAGTTCGGTGGTTTTATGCACTTGGCTACTAGAGGGCTCTTATTAGAATTAAGAAAGTACTGTTTTGAAATGAAAAAGCCTGAGTCATTAGATGTGGAAAATTAAATACTTGTAGATTCTTCACAGAGTAACACTTTCTATTGCATGCAGGCAATTACTGTACGTTACAGTACTTGTCACAGTAATTATATAGTGCATTTATTTTATGCTATATCATTGTCACGGTAATTAAGTGAATATAACATTAAAAAAATATATAATTAAAAACTATATATACAAGAATTATATTTAGTTTATTATTTTTTAAAAATTTTTTGCCAATAGATGGCACTACATTAATTAATTTAATTAAATCATCATTTCTAATGTAGATATAAATTAATTGATTTACAGAAATTCAATAGACATTTTGGGGTGGGATGTACGACATTATCTAAGGTAGGGGTATATAAACATCTTACATGCAAATGATTGGCTCCTTAAAATTCGCAATCGCTTTTCACTTTTGGTTGTATTGGTCAATTTCACTAAGTGAATAAAAATCGCTTTTCACTATTCTTTCAGTATGAACTAAGCTTGCTGCAATTGGTTGAACGGCCTAGGAGTGTATAGTGAACAAACAAACATTCTCATTTATATGTATAGATAATTACTACCAAGTTTTTGTTGGCTGCTGATCTTCAGTTAAACAAATAAGTCATATAAAAATATAACAACAAGCCATTTATGAATTAAAAATTATTTAATTATAGAATTGATTTATTTCTGTTTAATATATGGACCCATATGCTTAATCTAGAACAGCGCTGTCCAACTTATCATAGCCCGCGGGCCATATTTTCTTCACTAAACATTTCGGGGGCCAAGAAGGTTGATAAACCACATGACATTTGCATAGTGCTACGGTTCAGTAAGCACTAATTGGTCATCGAGTCCGATGTTGACGCTATAAAAAGGCGACAGTTCGACACACCGGATATACGTCACTCTCGTCTAAGTTCGACTTGGGAATTTTTTTGTTCAATAATAAATGTGAATTCTTCTTCCTGGAAAAATAAGACATTCCCTGAAAATAAGACCTAGCGCATTTTTCAGAGCAAAAATTAATATAAGACACTGTCTTATTTTCGGGGAAACACGGTAGTAAAATAATTTTAATATTAATAATAATAATTTAGTAACATAAATTTATTCATAGTAAAATGTACTCGCGGGCCGTAAAAATTATTTGGCGGGCCGTATACAGCCCGCGGGCCGCCAGTTGGACAGCGCTGATCTAGAATTTAATAATAAAAAAATATAAAAGATGTAATTATGAGGCTGCAATTTCTTTATTCAAAAACTTAATCATTAATTCTCTTTTCCTGTTTTGTTTTTAATTTTTGTTTCATTCTCAAATGATTAAAAAACTAATTTTCCAACTTAAAAAAAAAATAAACAAATTTAGACTTTTTTTTAAACATTACCTTGTTGTAACAAAACATTTATATGTTCTTTTTTTTCAGGAAGAGAAAGTACCATATATATTTTTTGTTGATGATGTAGAAGTTACAGGTACTTTAAATAATACCATAAAAGAGAAAATTATTGAAACAGAGAAGCTGTTAGAAATTGTATACGTCCCGCAAGCCATTTTTAAAGTGAGACCAGTCACAAGATGTACAAGTTCCATTCCCGGTCATGCCGAAGCAGTCATTTCAGCCGCCTTTAGCCCCGATGGAAGGTAAAGCAGTCAATGCTCTAATTTGGTAAGTTTATAATTATGAGTAATAACAATAAATTTTTTTTTTGTTGCTAGATATGTCGCTAGTGGATCTGGTGATACAACTGTTAGGTTTTGGGATTTAAATACAGAAACTCCACAATTTACTTGCAATGGTAATTTCAAATTGAATAATTATTAACAACATAAGATATTTTTAGGTATAATTTAATGATGATTATGTAAATAATTTGTTTTTGGTTTTTTTTTTAAGGACACAAAAATTGGGTTTTGTGTATTTCCTGGTCTCCGGATGGTTGTAAACTTGCATCTGGATGTAAAAGTGGTCAAGTATGCCAAACATTATTATTTCTGTTGATAAGAATCCTCATTTTATCACTTTTGTGACATTTTCATGTGTGTATACTACGCCAAACATTTCTAGAAAAAAATAAAATTTTTACATAACTCAACATTATATCCTACATGATAAGGAGCAATGGCTGCTCCATAAGAATGAGTTTGTAATTGCAATTTAAAATTTAGTATAACCAACATCCTTTTTCAAAAAGTGTCTTTCAAACATAGATAGTTTGAAGGTAATATACATGGGTGGTTTTTTTTCAAGCTCCAATGGTCGATAAAACAAAGACAAGTGTAAATAACAAAATGAATTTATTTCCAATAGTTAGGTACAAACATGGTTACTTTTCGACAATCACCGTGAAGATTGAGGAATTTGTCATATTTGTGGACGAGCTTTCCCCTTGTCATAGAATGTTGCCGTCAGTGAATTGAGATAGCCTTAACAACATTGTTTTGAAGATCATCATTAGTTCATTAGTCTCAAACCTCTGCCCTGCTAGCCACATTTTCAGTTCAGGAAAGAGTCTTCACACATTAAAAAGTTTAAAGCTGGATGGAAATCTCCACCACCTTTAAACACCCAGTGTATAGCTCCGATTTAGCACTGAGTGACTTCCACCTCTTTCCTGAACAGGAAAAGTGGCTAGGAGGGCAGAGGTTTGAGACTAATGACGATCTTCAAAAAACTTTAGTGCCCATCTCAAGTCACTGGCAGCAACATTATATGACAAGGGGATGGAAAAGCTTGTCTACAATGTTTTTTTTTTTTCATCAGAGCTTAAAGAAAAAAACAGCCTAGGTACCATGAAAATACGATATTACTATTAATTATATCATCCACATTGAAAACAAATATTGTAATAACAGCATCAGTTCTTCATCAGCTATAATCTGTATTCCATTATATATTTCTTGCACATTAGGCTACTAAACTTATCCTAGCATAAAAAGAATAACCCATTAAAAAAAAGACTAAATTTATTCAATTGATTTTGTACTATTTTAATGAGGTCTGTTTATATAAGGCTGATATTCACTTGCTCAAAATCTTGTAAAAATAATAAATATCATGAGACATAACCTTGTAAAATAAATACTTTATTTTGAAATATGGATGATTATTTTTCAGTAATAAATAATTATTTTATACCAAAGAATTATTGTAATTCTTTGAAATAAATTTGTAGTAATTGAATTTAAGTTTTTAAATTCAGAATTCTTTAATAGAAAAATATTAATTTTATTTACAATTTTTCAGATATTCATTTGGAATCCAGAAACTGGCAAACAGATGGGAAGAACATTAATTGGCCATACTCAATGGGTAACATGGATTACCTGGGAACCATTGCATAGGTTGATTATATTATCAAAGTGATTTATAATAATAAAAAATCTATACAGATCTTTTTAACAATTATGTAAATTTTGTTGTAGAAATCCAGAATGTAGGAAATTGGCAAGCTCTTCCAAAGATGGTACCATAAGAATATGGGACATCTTATATTGTCACACACTACTCACTCTTTCGGGTCACACTAAATGTGTAACTTGTGTTAAATGGGGAGGAACAGGTTTAATTTATACTTCGTCTCAAGATACGACTATTAAAGTCTGGAGAGATAATGACGTAATGTATTTTCCATCTTAAATAATAAAACTTAATGTTAATACATTCCAAGAATGTTTTAAAATTATTTACTTTTTCTCCAAAAGGGAGTTTTGTGTAGAACATTACAAGGTCATGGGCATTGGGTGAACGTTTTGGCATTAAACACTGATTATGTGTTGAGAACTGGTGCTTTCGATCCAAGTGAAATAAGTGCTGTATATAAAGACCTCAATTTATCAAGTAAGAAAAACTTTATAATCATCTTAACATTTTAAAATGGGTTTAGACAAAACATTAAAATTATTAGTTAATATGAATCCTTTAAGCATAGTCAATATCTTAGACATAACAAAAAAATAATGTATAGTGTCCCCCCCATTTAAAATCTGCCCAACAGATGAAACATTGGTGATGTAAATTTTATGGGGTGTATAAAAGGTAGTATATGAGACCAATCCCAGAACTATATGTAAACAGAAAGCCTCAATGCTTTGGCAAATGCTTTCTATCAATATCAGTATTTTATGTAAAATCAGTCTGAATGTGAGTACATGTGAGCTTAGCCCTTGATTTATCAGAATGAAATATTTTAATCCAACTTTTAATGATATTGGGAAAAGATTAGTTGTGTTCTAAAATTTTAAAACTGCTTATGGACACGTAAGATGAGTAATGTTTGTTGACATATAGTGGTACCTAGGAACTCTAATTCAATTTGTTCCTAGAGGGAGTTCCAAAGCAGTACCCATAAGGAATAACATAATAGGAATTAATCTGTTCCCAAACTCCCAAAAAAGCTCATTTTGATTCTCAAAAATCATAATTTAAGCTAAAACAACAGAAGTAAATGCCTTAATTAATGCTTAAAACAATGAAAAAAATAATAATGGATATAAAAAAGAAACTCGTTGTTTACATAGTTTTTATTCAATTATAACTCTTTCAAACTTTCTGTGAAGTTTCATAGCCTCAACACACTTGTTAGGCACCATGATGAATGCACATGGTTATTATTAAAAGAAACACCAAAAAAACAGCAGATAAAAAAGTTATGCAAGGATGTTTTCAGAACGAGAGGAGATGAACTGAGTATGGCTGGGCTTGTTCAATACTTATCTCAGATTTAGAAAAGTAATGAATTTTCATTGTTTATAGCCCAAAATAAAAGTTAACCCACTCTCACAACACGGCTGCATCATGCATACCCATACAGATACAATATACACTACAGTATGGCTGTCTTTGCATTCAAGTTCCAAGAAAAGTTCAACTTTTGGGGCAAAAAACTGAGACATTCATGTTTTGAGATAGCACTGTATTTCTTGCTATTGCCTAATTTATTTACATATGTGAGATTAGCAGTGGGCCACTGGGCTCATCCCAAATGACCACTTACTCTGCAACAGATTGGTAAAACCTGTTCTTGGCTTGTCGGATGGCTAGGAGGTCAAAAAAGAAATTTGAGTGGGGAGTGCGTCGGTAAGTCGGCAGGTGTCCTTCAGAGACAGAAGACAGGTTTAAAACTAAACAAGCATTTATTTATATAACTAAGCTAGGATACATAGGTTAAATGTGATTAAATAAATTTACTATACAAAAGGGACGTTCTAATAGCTTTACCGGCTAGTCTAAGAGAGAGTTCACAAAGCTCTAAAAGTACAAATACCTCTATGCGGATATGTCTAATATGCGTTCGTTGAATAGGTTCGTTAATGGCGATGGAAGTTCAAATGGCTGGGGTTGGTTGTATGTCCTTTCGGTCCGGAGTATGGAGACAAATATGGCACATCTACCAATTATAACTTCTGAGGAATCGCCCGGAGCTTCCGGGGACTCGAGCTTTTATACGTTATTCGTGGGAAATGAGTCATGTGATCGATTTCTGTTGACACTTGCAGTGCATTCCGATCAACTAAGTGTCAACTTTCCCACCTTAATGTGAAAACAATTGGTGACCTCTGATATACTTCTTATCAAGAGTGGGTTTTTCCTCAGAGTTGTTTACAAAGATTTTTCCGACATCGGCATAAAAATCGCGGATTTCACACACAGTTATACATAATTCTGTTATGTTAAATGCTTCATATGATCTATGCTGTTGTTATTGTCTTTCTAATGTATGGATGCTGTATTGTTTATTTGTGTATAACTTTCCAAAACTGGTATATATTAATTTATACACATACAAGATGCTTATGCCAGCATACTTCAAATTAGTAATTTTTACTAATGTTTTCATCTGTATATAACAGACATATTCAGGTATATATAATGTAGAACAAAATGGATAAATTAAAATCAAACAAGCATTAAATTTTAAACTGAGTTTTCAATGCAATGTGTTTGTAAAACCTTGTTCAATTTTCATTTGTCTGTTTTATTCTGCATTTGTCTGTTTTATTCTGTGTTATAGTTGAAGATGTCTGTTGTATACAGATGAAAACATTAGTTGAAATTAGTAATGTGTTGGTGTATGTGTTTATTTGTGCATTGCATTATCTCATATTTTATTTACAAATACTGTATACAATTAAAATATGAATGTTGTACCTCTTGCTAATGTCTAAAAAGGTTTGAATTACATTAAATTTTTAAAATAAATTTCTAATGAATTATTGGAATGATATTTCATTCAGTTTGACTTCTGTTTAAAATGAAAATAAAATTCATGATCATTTTGTCTTATCATTTCAGGTGAAGAACTTTCCAGGAGGGCATTAGTAAGATATAATGCAGCTAAAGTGAGTTGAAAAACAAAGTATACTCTAAAACTGGGATTAGATGATGATAAACACTTTCTTTAGGGAAACGAGCCCGAGAGACTGATTTCTGGTTCTGACGATTTTACGTTATATCTATGGAAACCCGAAGTCGATAAGAAACCAGTCTGCAGAATGACTGGTCATCAACAGTTGGTGAATGATGTCAAATTTTCTCCAGATATGAGAATGGTAGCCAGTGCCTCATTTGATAAATCCATCAAATTATGGGATGGAAAAACTGGAAAGTATGTTTTAAGATGCATGAAATATAGTAAAAATGTTTAATAATTAAAAAATTGAATTTTACTTTTTTGGCTATAGATATTTAGCAGCTTTTAGAGGACATGTACAAGCTGTCTACCAGATTTCCTGGTCTTCAGACAGCAGACTTCTGGTCAGTGGAAGTGCAGATTCAACTTTAAAGGTGTGGGACATAAAGACAAAGAAATTATTGATGGATTTACCAGGCCATGCTGATGAAGTATATACATAAACTTAACATATAAAAGTTATTTATAGAACACTGAATTCTAATAATTAAATTATTATAAAGGTCTATGCAGTGGATTGGAGTCCTAATGGTAGACAAGTAATTAGTGGTGGAAAAGATAAAGTTATTAAAATGTAAGTGCAATTTATATACATTTATAGATAGTGAAGTCAAAAATAGACTGAACTCTTGATGTTGCTTAGTAATAGCTGTAATTGCAAGCATACAAATGATAAATACAGATGGCATTCAGGATTAAGAGCAATGTCAGTGTATTGGAGTATGCACCATTAGAATTTTTGAAACTGCAAATCTATGCATATGCTTGTTTCTTTAATGACAGCATATTGCATATAAAAGTGTACAATTGATATAAGCATTTTAAAGAAGGCTATTAATCAACAGAGGACAATCCCATCTAGTTAGGCCAACCAAGGAAATCATATCTTCCTGAGTTTATTGATTACAAAAAGATGAAGAGATACTGTAAACAAATGACCTGGTTGAAATTTTTGGTATGAACAAAGACACATGAAATTACATGTCCTGAGAAGTTATCAACTGTATTGTTAAGTTCACTTACTATTTATCTGTTAAAGATCCAGGTAAAGACCTTTTAATGGAGGATTCACATGTGACTATTCCAAGTATTGTAGCTTCAATGCTATTATACCACAATTTCACATTATTATTTATATTTAAATTTCAAACTATGATTTTGCATTGTCTTTTAAAAACTACTACTAATCTCTAAAGGAGAAAATAATTCGTTTAAATTGTGGTGTAGTAAACACCAGTATTGTGTTTATTTCCAAAGATACATGGCAAATTTTTCATCAAATTCCTTTATTAGTTGAGTCGACTCAACTAATAAAGAATTTGATGAAAAATTTGCCATGTGTCTTTGGAATTAAACACAATACTAGTGTTTACTACGCCACAATTATAAAACAGGACACGGTTTCAAAAAATAAATCAATTCATTTAAAAATGACCAAATAAAAGTTTTTATTACAAAGATGGAAAGATAAGCATGGAAGTAGAGGCAGTCATGAGAGATAACCTATAGGGTCATTTCTTTAAATTGGTAGTAATCTAAACCAAGGAAGGCTACACGAGAAACTTGCTTTAAGCTTGGCATACTTAGTCTGTTCATGCACTTAATGTCTGAGTCCAAGTTTACCTTAAGGCAAACATCAGTTAATCATACACTGTTCTCATAGTTGTGTCTTGCTGTCCAATCAGGAAAAAGAATGATTCTGCATGTAAGTAGGCCATGTTTCTTCTAGACATGTAGACAATGAGAAGAGAAAATGTGGAGATATTTTAAAAATCATCCAGAAATCAGAGAAAGAAAATCTTTTTCAGTTTGACTTTTTCTGGCTTATGTGCACTAAGAGAGCCTTTTTAATCACATCCATTGTGAATTCAGCCAGGCCCATAGTGGGGACAGCTGGGTGATGGGGTATGAGGCTACTTGTGAAAAATTCCCAGGGTTCTCCAGAACAATAGACTGATATCTTAACTGCCTTGGCCATCAAATTGATTCCATTGTTTTGAAAAAACTTAAAATTTATAATAAAATACAAAGAGAAAGAAAAATAGTTACCATGCATCATTATAGACAAAATATGTATTGAACATAAAATTGGTCTAACAAGGGAGACTGTCAGAGAAGACACCTCCAATTTTGCTGAGTTTGATATATATTGTGGTAATCTATGATAAAGCCACTCGATGCTCTAAAGCATATACAAGAAAACTTATTTTAAAAGTTTTTCATGTTCCTTATCCATTGCTGTTATTTTGTTGATATAACAATATATAAGGTGCTCAACTACTAAAAACACATGCTACAGGTTCAAAACATTTTTTAATGTTTTTTCTAATCTGCATTTAAGTAGATTATTGTGCAATGTATTTTTTTTTCTTTTTAACAATCTTTTGCTCATGCTGCTGCTGAACAAATAAGGGAATAGATAGGGACTAGATAAGTTCTATGTACTATGCATTGGTTGCTCTAGAAAATTAAAAAAAATAATTATTCAACAATTTTGCCACCCGTTTTACTTATTAATGCAGGTGCTAGTAGCTTTATCAGTTTGGAGTCTGGAAAGCAAAAAGTTACATATTAAGCTGTCACTTAGAAACGGGACTCATTTTTGAATAATTCCAAATAACACACAAAATACTGTTTAAGCATTGTGATCAAAAGTTCTGTCATACCAAAATTTTTATGCTTTACTGAAAAAAGATTGAAGTGAAAAAATGTCAGAAAATTTGGGGAACTTTTGGACTGTCAGTTGATAAAAAGTTCCAATCTGGAAACACTAGGTGGCATTGCAAGAAAATTGCCTTCAGTTCTCAACATCATTTACGTCACTTCCTGCTTTCCTGTTCAAACTTATCGTATGGCACATGGAAGTCCCCAGGAAGTGCACAGGAGCTTGATGAAACTAGTTGTTTATCTAATCTCAAAACTTTTTAAATGTACCTCTCAGTATTCATCTATGTTGATCATTACATGCATTTCAACAGGTAAAACATGCAAATTTCTTTCCCAAATAATGATTGCGTAGGTGAAAATAACAGTCCTACAAGAGTTTGTGTGTACAGTGGGTGATCAGACAACAAACACTTTCGCAAAAGATTATGTTCGGACAACGAACACCCCACAGAACAAACACAAGGAGAAGCAATGTAAAATAATGAATACCGATTGGACTTTCCTTGTCTTTGGGCAACAATTCGAAACTTTTCAGAGAGTGGGAGACGTCAACATCGACACTCAAGCTGATATATACGATCGGATAGTATTTCTCCGAACATTGAAACTCTCTTATAATTCCAGCCTTTTATTTTTATGACAAAATAATTCTTTTATGTATTCGAGAGACTGTCAGATAGGCACTTAAGTTTTGCATCTGTTTTTTTTTTTTATAAGGTGAGAGTATAATAGCGAAGGTAGAGAGTGAACAGAAGATGCCTAATGTTGCTGGGCAGTATGGCATGAACAGGTCTACAGTAGGCCACAGTTCATTTTTTTTAAGAAAAATACTGTATAATCAAGAAGACTCAAGCAGCTAAAGGAGTAACAAAAATCACATCTGAGAAATAAAGAACATCGAAGAGTTTATAATGGAACCTGAAACGGATCTGACGACAGAAGAATGCCATGAACTCTTGAATGAAGAACATCAAGAAACTCGGCGAGATATGTTTTCTTCTGAAAAAGAGGATTAATGCCAATATCTGTTATTAAAGATCCTTTGAANAAGGCTATTAATCAACAGAGGACAATCCCATCTAGTTAGGCCAACCAAGGAAATCATATCTTCCTGAGTTTATTGATTACAAAAAGATGAAGAGATACTGTAAACAAATGACCTGGTTGAAATTTTTGGTATGAACAAAGACACGTGAAATTACATGTCCTGAGAAGTTATCAACTGTATTGTTAAGTTCACTTACTATTTATCTGTTAAAGATCCAGGTAAAGACCTTTTAGTGGTGGTGTTACAACATGGAGGATTGACATGTGACTATTCCAAGTATTGTAGCTTCAATGCTATTATACCACAATTTCACATTATTATTTATATTTAAATTTCAAACTATGATTTTGCATTGTCTTTTAAAAACTACTACTAATCCGTAAAGGAGAAAATAATTCATTTAAATTGTGGCGTAGTAAACACAATACTAGTGTTTACTACGCCACAATTATAAAACAGGACACGGTTTCAAAAAATAAATCAATTCATTTAAAAATGACCAAATAAAAGTTTTTATTACAAAGATGGAAAGATAAGCATGGAAGTAGAGGCAGTCATGAGAGATAACCTATAGGGTCATTTCTTTAAATTGGTAGTAATCTAAACCAAGGAAGGCTACACGAGAAACTTGCTTTAAGCTTGGCATACTTAGTCTGTTCATGCACCTAATGTCTGAGTCCAAGTTTACCTTAAGGCAAACATCAGTTAATCATACACTGTTCTCATAGTTGTGTCTTGCTGTCCAATCAGGAAAAAGAATGATTCTGCATGTAAGTAGGCCATGTTTCTTCTAGACATGTAGACAATGAGAAGAGAAAATGTGGAGATATTTTAAAAATCATCCAGAAATCAGAGAAAGAAAATCTTTTTCAGTTTGACTTTTTCTGGCTTATGGGCACTAAGAGAGCCTTTTTAATCACATCCATTGTGAATTCAGCCAGGCCCATAGTGGGGACAGCTGGGTGAGGCTACTTGTGAAAAATTCCCAGGGTTCTCCAGAACAATAGACTGATACCTTAACTGCCTTGGCCATCAAATTGATTCCATTGTTTTGAAAAAACTTAAAATTTATAATAAAATACAAAGAGAAAGAAAAATAGTTACCATGCATCATTATAGACAAAATATGTATTGAACATAAAATTGGTCTAACAAGGGAGACTGTCAGAGAAGACACCTCCAATTTTGCTGAGTTTGATATATATTGTGGTAATCTATGATAAAGCCACTCGATGCTCTAAAGCATATACAAGAAAACTTATTTTAAAAGTTTTTCATGTTCCTTATCCATTGCTGTTATTTTGTTGATATAACAATATATAAGGTGCTCAACTACTAAAAACACATGCTACAGGTTCAAAACATTTTTTAATGTTTTTTCTAATCTGCATTTAAGTAGATTATTGTGCAATGTATTTTTTTTTCTTTTTAACAATCTTTTGCTCATGCTGCTGCTGAACAAATAAGGGAATAGATAGGGACTAGATAAGTTCTATGTACTATGCATTGGTTGCTCTAGAAAATTAAAAAAAATAATTATTCAACAATTTTGCCACCCGTTTTACTTATTAATGCAGGTGCTAGTAGCTTTATCAGTTTGGAGTCTGGAAAGCAAAAAGTTACATATTAAGCTGTCACTTAGAAACGGGACTCATTTTTGAATAATTCCAAATAACACGTGAAATACTGTTTAAGCATTGTGATCAAAAGTTCTGTCATACCAAAATTTTTATGCTTTACTGAAAAAAGATTGAAGTGAAAAAATGTCAGAAAATTTGGGGAACTTTTGGACTGTCAGTTGATAAAAAGTTCCAATCTGGAAACACTAGGTGGCATTGCAAGAAAATTGCCTTCAGTTCTCAACATCATTTACGTCACTTCCTGCTTTCCTGTTCAAACTTATCGTATGGCACATGGAAGTGCACAGGAGGTTGATGAAACTAGTTGTTTATCTAATCTCAAAACTTTTTAAATGTACCTCTCAGTATTCATCTATGTTGATCATTACATGCATTTCAACAGATAAAACATGCAAATCTCTTTCCCAAATAATGATTGCATAGGTGAAAATAACAGTCCTACAAGAGTTTGTGTGTACAGTGGGTGATTGGTTAACGAACACTTTCGCGAAAGATTTTTATGATCGAATAACGAACACCCCACAGAACAAACATAAGGAGAAGTGATGTAAAATAATGAATACCAATTGGACTTTCCTTGTCTTCGGGCAATAATTCGAAACTTTTCGGAGTGTGAGAGACGTTGACATTGACACTCAAGCCGGTATATACGATCGGATGGTATTTCTCCGAACTTTGAAACTCTCTTATAATTCCAGCCTATTTTTATGACAAAATAATTCTTTTATGTATTTACGAGACTGTCGGGTCGGGTAGGCACTTGTTAAGTTTTGCATCTGTTTTTTTTTTTTTTTTTGTAAGGTGAGAGTATAATAGCAAAGGTAGAGAGTGGGCAGAAGATGCCTAATGTTGCTGAGCAGTATGGATTAACAGGTCTACAGTAGGCCGCAGTTCATTTTTTTTTAAGGAAACTACTGTATAATCAAGAAGACTCAAGCAGCTAAAGGAGTAACAAAAATCACATATGAGAAATAAAGAACATCGAAGAGTTCATAATGTAACCTGAAACAGATCTGATGACAGAAGAACGCCATGAACTCTTGAATGAAGAACATCAAAAAACTCAGCGAGATATGTTTTCTTCTGAAAAAGAGGATTAATGCCAATATCTGTTATTAAAGATCCTTTGAAATGTGAGGATGTCAGAACAACGGTCTTAGAATGGCATCCAAACCAGGTTGAGGCTTGGGGATTTCTACAATTGCAATGCTATTAATTACTTACGAAAAATCCTGAAGAAGACAGAAAAGCAATCGTCATTAGACAGATTCTTTAACCCTTTCAAACTGAAAAAACATGACTAATAAAAACGCAAGACTGTATACATATGCATTTTTATTATTACATATAAATAAATGTAGTAAGAAAGTATATATTTTTTTATTTTGGGGGGTCTCCAGGATGAATTAATTAAATTCCCATTAAAACCTATGGTAAATCGATAATTGATTAACGAACAATTCGGATAGCGAACAAAGTCTTGGAACGGATTATGTTCGTTAACCGATCACCCACTGTAGTTCTTATTCAAATGAATTTGTGTGTTTGTTGCTTAATTTACTTTTCTAATACAGTAATTTCATTAAATACAAGACTAAAACTATCAACTGAGATTTGTCAATAAACAATCTTGTGATGTCACACTAAAAACATCTCTAAACAGAGTGACTACTACCAATAAAATTGGTTTTTCTTGTATGATCTATGTTGATAAGAGTATATTTGCTGTATGGACACCAACTACTTCACCAAAGCAGAAAAAATATTTCATCTTTATCTTTTAGTGTCAAAGGGTCTAATGCATTATAAGTTAATGGATCTACTGTCAGGAATTCATCATCATCATCTTCATGATGCAATAAGATGATGATGACTTATGAAAATGGACTTATTTCTAGCAAGCAAACAGTTGTGTTTTCCATTACAATAACACCTGAAATCATGCTCTTGTGAATATTTTTGGCAAATTGTCAAATTCTTAAACTACTAATCCTCAATTCTGCAGACTTTCATATCTTCATCAGTCACAAATTCAAATCTGCAAGACTGTTGGCTGAAGTGTGTAGCTGCAGATGATGGTCTTCTGTAAATATTTGTACTTTGAATGCAATAAATCAAAGTTCAGATTTATTTTTGACTCAAAACCATCACACACACACAAATGTATATAAATATGTATATTTTTCAGTTGGAGAAGGTAAAAGTCAAGATACTAAATGATGTAAATTGTTTTGGTGTACAAAGAAACTATCTGCATGAAGTTCAGGAGGAGGAATATTTTATTTTCCGGATTCAAGTGCTTCCTGAAAATAATTCACTTTTGTCATTGTAAATGATTTTTTTATTATTAATAAACTCGATATTTTGAAATTTGCTTTAAATATTTTTTTTCTTTCTTAAACAAAGAATATTGCTGATACTTGTTAAGACATATTTGAATAGCACAGAATTCTGAGACTACCATTTTATTCCTATGTTCAGGAAGATTAAAATTTTGTATGCAACACACAGCATGTAATAACTGTTTTGTTAATTGATTTTTTCATAAAAAAAATATAACATTGTATACAACTACTACAGTTGAGCAATAAGAATCATACTATAAATTCACAAACTATAGTACTGGCTCAACTGTTTGACTTCCAGAAAACCAGCTAGTTTTGAATTTGGTAGACTGTAAAACAGCTGTTTGCTATGCAACTACTTAGTTTTGCTCTTTACTTAGTATCATTTATTTTATATTTTAATACACTGTTTGGTGGCAGTGTGTGTGACTACACCAAAGAAACCAAAACAATCTTTGTGTATATATTTAGCTTGTATCCAGAAATCAGGACCACTTATAGTATAGGACGAAGTATCTGGCAAGTTTGAGACCATATTTGCAACAATATATAAGTTGTGATTTATATCAAAGATATTTTTACTAAATTCAAAATGAATTTTTTTACTAAACATTTTGTTACAGACAGAAGTTAAATCTGAATTATTTGCAAGCGTCTTCTACAAAATAATTACTCTGGTAATCAGGGCTGCTACAAGCGGGCATGTGGGGTATGCACCACACACTGGTGCCGTTATAAAGGGAGTGCCAAAAGACTCCTAAATAAGTGCCTGATTTCAATTATGAAATGACAAAAAATAGAACAAACACTAAAGTCGTGAGCTCCAACTTATACTATGCATTTTTGAGAATTTATAGTATTACATTATCAAATATTTTGCAAAGTCACCTTTGTGATTGTTATATACTAGTCCATACAGGTTTATTCCTATGTTGGCTATATATCCATACTCAATTCAAAAGGAATTTTGATGGTGATTAAAAAAAAATAAGAATTCATAGTGTATTTGATGGGGTCAGTGAAACTCAAATATAGATGTATTTATGTATATACAATTTATTTTTATAATTTTATATCTCAAATAATGTATTTATATATATGAACACCAACTGAAGAGGAACTGTTTGTCAGAAATGCATTTTGAGTGTTTGATATCATGTACAGTACATGTTAAAGGAGCCACAGTTTATTGTAAATTTTTATTATTAAGGTGATGATAATCATTAAAGAATGTGACAATGCCGAAGGGCCTCCCNCAATGTAGATATAAAATTATAAAAATAAATTGTATCTCAAATAATGTATTTATATATATGAACATCAACTGAAGAGGAACTGTTTGTCAGAAATGCATTTTGAGTGTTTGATATCATGTACAGTACATGTTAAAGGAGCCACAGTTTATTGTAAATTTTTATTATTAAGGTGATGATAATCATTAAAGAATGTGACAATGCCGAAGGGCCTCCCTATACTTTGGCACCATGGGACTGAAGGGTCGACATTGCGTCAGCGAAGATCACAATGACAAGGTTTGTCAGGACAGACACAGAAACTGTTATGTTCTCATGCGAACAATCACATGTGAGTGAACGGATTCGGAATGGAGGGAGAGACAGCGCACTGGAAGTGACTTACTCAGAGACGGGTTAACGTAACAACTATTTAATGGGTAATTGTAGGCCATACAACATTTCGATCTTAACTATGCTCAATTTTAAATATATATATAATAACCTCAAACCCAATGTATGATTTTAACATTAATGTTCCACAGTTCCCGAGAGAGGGAGTTTACAATAAATATGCGTGGCTATAAATACCTTGAGTTTTAGTGATTCACTAGTAGGTCTTGAGGCTCTTGATGACGCATCCAGTTAGGCAATCAAGTATTTTGGTTCAACTTCCATCCAGGTAATAGGCACTTAATAAGTCCAATGGATGACAAAGTTAATCCAGTGAAAAGCACAATGCACACGGAAAAAGATACGGAGCTTGCGACTGATCTCTTCTAGGACGGGATGACGACTGCCACACTTTGTTGTTCTGTTCTATATATTGTATTGTTGAAATCGAAATATTAGGCCAAGAGGTAATGAGAAAGCGTCGTCAGGCCTGAGAACTTAACAATGTTTTGCTCCCAGGTGTAAAAGTTAACAGTTATTTAACAAAAGTATAGCTACAATGTGGTGATAGGAGAATGATATAAACATACTGAAAGTCTGGATTCGGATCCTCACAAGAATTTGTTAAATAATCTCATTTGCTGGTGTGATAAGCCTGTATGTGTGTATATGTGTGTGTCTTGTTGATTTAGACTAATTGTTTAATATATTGCTTTTAGCCTTAAAACTATTTTTCTGTTATACAATAAGAATCCTATTGCTTTCAGTCACATTACAGTATTGAAGCAATCTGTTCACCATCCATGAAATATTGTATTAAGTCAAGTAATTATGTAAATTTTATTAAATGGCAAAACAAAGGATAAGTACACAGATAATCTAAAAATGTGAGTTTCATCCCTAAATATTTTAAACTAAGGTTAATGAATAATATCTAACTTTATTTGAATTTATCTTTTCAAATATGTATCCCTCATTCACTATCAGTCTTATTTATAAAAATAACACTGAGGAAAATTAGACAGAGAGTAAGGCAGATGATGACCTCTGGCAATGTGTGTGTGTGTGTAATAATAAAAAACAACATAGTAAAGTTAAAGTTTATACAACACTGTTATCATTAAATAATGTTAATAATATAATCATAAATATAATGAAAGTCCAACATTTATTCAAGTAACTTTCTTCACTCTTATGTGCAAAAAAATTTTCAGTGCAACAGTGGTCTAAGCAAGAAAGACTGTTGGAGTACCTTCATGAGTTGTAATATCTGTAAATCTATGTAATAATAGACTATGTAGCATTGTATTTAAATTACAATGCTACATAGTCTATTATTTAAATTGTATTTAAATTAAAAAAGCACCACATAGTACACCAATACCGATAAAATAGCATTTTTTAAATTAGAAGAAGAATCGTAAATGCAAAACTTAAACGAAATATTTTGTTTCGAAAAAAAAAGTGGGTTAGACCACTGTTACACTGACCCCCCACATTTGCACTCATTCATATGGGGCACAAAATATAGTNATAAGATGCAAATCAAAATAATTGATAGATAACTATTAAACTAGCAAATAATAAATACTAGTAATACCTCAATAGCCAATCTCCTGCTACAGCAAATGACATTCTTAGTATCTGTCACAATATTCAAATTGAACTTTGGGATGCATATTCATAGCAAATCTGGAAATCTGAACAACAGTCAGATGAACCTATGGAACTTATCACTCAAGCATGCATTAATCGCCCAACTACAGAACTCTCTAGATACATGTCTGCAGTTGGACATATATGGTTTGTTAAATTGAAAACTAGGAAAAGAATTTCGTGCAGTGACTTTAAAACTTCAGTTGAACTGTTCGAATGTGGTCATAAAGTCAAAAAGACCCAGTGTGATACACAGAAGACTGTAACCTCTGGAAAGACAAAGTGATAAGAAGCAAATAAAAACAAAATGTTGATATTGCAACCCTTTGGCCACAAACAGGAAGATTGTTCTAACTTACCTGCAAGAGAAGGAATATATTCTCCGGGAGAAATCATCTCAATTTACTAGTTTCAGATATGGAGTACTGGGATTTATTTGAAGTCAGTGTTCTAATTGTCAACCTGATAAGCTTTATGAAGTTTCTTTTCACAGCTCTAATAGTCAGTTATCTGTATTAACTCTTGACTTAACCAAAGAAAGTTCTATCAGTGGAAATTAGGAATCAAGGTCTTAAATCCATGCTATCTATCCAAGCTATGGACTTAACTGGACTTGATTTTTTGTTACAGATATTCAGACAATGTTTAATTTCTGGCAATTGACTAGAATTACCATATACCATTATCTTCACAATGATGATCTGGCTGATGGTGCGTCACTCAAGTCCAGACTTTATCACTGATGTACTGTTAAATTGATGGATGTTTCTGATCATGTTTGTGGATGTATCTGAGATGGCAACACTGGACTTTTCCCTCTATGAGCGACAATGTAAAACAATGTTTAAAATAAATAGGAGGAATTGTTTAAAATCTAAAAAAAAAAGAAAGAATAGAATAAAATAGAAAAAGGAAATGATGAGACCTAATGAGCACGGGTGTCTCAGTCATCGATGAATTGCGATCAGAGTTGAGAAGATGGTGTTGGATAAACCATCCTGGGCAGACCTTTCTCATGACCTATTTTGGTCTCAAATTCTACCTTGAGACAGGTAAGAGACCAATTGGGGAGCAAGGAAGGGAAAGCCCAACCAATTGGAAAAGAAATTAAGAATGAGAAATTATAAGTGCCAGATTGTCCAAGGACAAGGGTTTGATCTATCAGTTCAATCCAGAAGGGATTGGTCATCTATAGCATCATCATCCTCAACTATGTTGTCAGAACACAGAAAACATCATTGACTCCTCCTGTGATAACTTCTAGTGCACAAATTACAAGTTCAAGCTCTCAACTATCTCATCGCTGCCTATCCAGCAACAATCAACGAAATACCAATGGAAACCAACATAGAGGTTCCACACTATTTTTAGGACTCAAATTTCCGAATGTAAGCAAAACCTTTAACCAAATAAACAGTTTTCTTTTGTAACACTTGTTTCCTGCCTCCAGAATTGCCACCCATATACGTGAGAGACAGACCATCCTGACGAAAGGGAATAACCCCCCCTAATCAGCATGCTTACAATAGTACTTTAATTAAAGACAAACCCAAGAAATGATTTGTTTCTAGCTGACGGATTGCTTAGAAGTGTTTAGCTCATTGTTTTGGTATTCACACCATCTCCACAAGTGTTCAATAACCTGGATAGTGTACAGAGTGCCCAGTTAAAGTAATTCCTCTTGATTAACCAAGACATTTTTGAGCTTTATTGTTTCCACACTAAACATTTGATTGATGATAAACCCATTTCTGTGGCAGCAGCCTGAAAAGAGGTGCTAAGCTGCAAATTGGATCAAATACTAGAAAGGGGAATCATTGAGGAGTGAGTGTGCTATGTGGCTCCTGTAGTTGTCGTTCCCAAACAAAACGAAAAGCTTCAAGTCTGTGTAGACTACCATTGACTAAACAGTTTCACTGTACTGGATCAA